GACTGGGAAAAACCTTGCAGAAAGTGGGGCTTTAGATAAGACTTGAAGAAAGCCAGAAGGAAAAGAGGAGGAGGGAGAGCATTACAGGTGAGGGATCTGCTGGGAAAATGCTCAAAGTCAGGAAAGAGAGTATCATATTGGGGGAATAGCAAGAAGGGCAGTGTCACCGGATCAGAGTACAGGGAGGGGAGTTAAGAAGGGGCCAAGTTACAAGGGGCTTTAAAAGTCAAACAGAAGATGTTCTATTTGATCCTGGAGGTAATAAAGAGTCACTGGAGCTTTTTGAATGGGGAGTTCAAGGTATAAATTGGTCAGACATACTTTAGAAGGATCTATTTGACAGTTGAGTGGAAGATGGACTGGAGTGGGTAGAGAACTGAGGCAGGGAGAAGCATTTGAAACTAGAGATGTCTAAGGAAAATTCATCTAAGCTGAAATGTATACTTCCTATATCTTTTCATTTCTGTAGTAAAGTAGATTTTGTGGCATTGAAGATGGCTAGCCTCATAATGTGTTACTGTTAAGGTCTTCCTATGAAGACGGGGAAAACTTTCTGTATTACCTGGACGAGTCACACCACTGAGGTGTGATGGTCAGAAAGGTCAGAAGCTTGACTTGTCAGCCATCGTACTGATCTATTAATAGTACATTGGTTACAATGAATTTATCATAATTAATAATCCTGTATAAAGAATACTCATAGTCTGTGGCTACAATGTGGTCATTCTAAAATTAAAGTGTCTAATTTTATTTATAGAAAGAGATGGAACGAATTAACAAATATAACATTCTACCACTCAAAACAATTATTTATCAATTCCTCTCACCCATCCCTACTCCAAACATAATCAATCCCAAACCAAAACAAATCAACACATTACAGAAAAGATACAAGGTTTGGAGGATACCTGAGGGCAGAGGTGGAATGAGAATGAATGAAAAGCATTTATTTAGCACTCGTGAGCACTATGCTTGTCAGAATTTCCATTTCCCTCTAGTAAGCTGTTTAGAGCATTTGATCATAAAATCTTAGTGCTGGAAAGAACATGCATCTAATACAACTCCGACCTAAAGCACAAGTTCCCTTTCCTCAAGGAGTTTATTCAGCCTCTGCCTGGCAGCCCATTCAATTTTTTTGGATGCCTCTTATCAAGATGGTCTTCCTTATACTGAGGCAAAATAAGTCTCCCTATAATGTCTACTCATTGTTTCTAATTCAACCCTCCAAAGCCACACAGAACAAACCTATTCCCTTCCACCTGACATAGGCAGACAGATTTGAAGTCAGATGAACTTGATTCAAATATTGACCTTTCTACCTATTGCCCGTGTTATCCCGTCTGGATCTCACTTTCCTCATACACAGAAATCGTGTGGGGGGGGCAGGCGGGGTCTGCAGTGTGGTTTGGAACAGATGATGTTGAAGAAATACTGAAGTTGATTATCTTATGTACCCTTTAAATCATGCAATCACATCCCCAAATCTTCTTTTCTCCAAGCTAGGCACATTCAATTATTTTTGCTGTTTCTTATAATCTGGTTTTGAGCCCCTTCATCTCTAGGACCATGCTCCAATATGTCTTCAACTCCTGTCAGTTATGAATGTAATCTGTAGCAGTGAATGCATAATACAAATTGGCTACAATCTGTGTGAATGTCCAGGACATGCCACAAAAACAATAACCAGTAACGGTAAAGTTTGTTTATTTGATTTTTGAAGGAAAGTATTGTGGGCTGTGGAAGCAGGAATAGTTGGAAGGATTTAACAAAGTTAAATTTAACAAAATTTAACAGAGCCAGAGCCTAGGTCCACCAATACCTTTATCAGTCACTTTTCTTACTAGCCTAAATAAATTATCTTGAAATTAGAACAATTCAGTGATTCTTCAAGCTTGGATTAGTTACTTCCCAAAGTGATCATATATGCTTCAGATAGGTAACTTAGTGTAGGTCCTCCTGCAACCTGAAAGAAAGCAGCAATCACCTATGGCATATAATTCAGGGTTCCCTAACACATCCCTCTTTTCCTCAAAACCTCTTTCCCCAACTTGCTTCATGATGCAGAGATGCTGAAATTCTTTTTAACAGCAAACTCAGCCTTTTATTCCACAACCGGAGATAAGGTTTAAAAATGTAAATATCCCTGGAAGTGATAATTGAGTTCCCATAGTCTTAGTAAGGGTAGTTAGGTATCAGGAGAACCTGAGTTCAAATCCAGCCTCAGACACTTACTAGCTGTGTGACCCTGGGCAAGTCATTTAATTATGTTTGCCTCAGTTCCTCATCTGTAAAATAAACTAGAGAAGGAAAAAGCAAACTAGTCTAGTATCTCTGCCAAGAAAACTCCAAATGGGGTCACAGAGTCAGAGGTGACTGAAAGGACTCAACAACAGTCCTAGTAAGGTTAAAATGACTGAAATAGGACAATGGTTGCCAGAAAAAAAGGAACAAGGGAGGCAGGCAGGTTAGAGAGGGGGTATCAAGGCAGAGACAAAGAGAGGTGGACGGTGCCAAAGATAAACTTCACTTGTTCAGTTTTGTGTATAGTTGGCCCCAGAAAGCAGGTTGAGTTTCAAAGCCTAATGGCGGAGTTAAATCTTCAGTATCTTTTTCAAAGTGTTTAAAAGCAAGGTTAAAAGTTATTCATTAAATTTAAATGCAACATCACTACATAAATCACTCCCGAAAAATCATCATTATCTTCTCAGAATAACTCCATTCTGTAGGTGGTCCTCAAAAAACCAGTTTATAGGATCATAGAATTAGAAATGGAAGGAAGCTCAACGATCAGTCCAACCACTCATTTTACAGAAGAGGAAACTGAGAAAGGAAAGAAACAAGCATTTATTAAGTGCACACTATGTGCCAGACAATGTACTACTTGCTTTACAAATATCTCATTTGATCCTCACAACAACCCTGGGAGGTGGGTGCTACTACCTTCATTTTACAGTTGAGGAAGTTGAGGCAGAAAGAGGTTAAATGACTTGCTCAGGGTCACATATGGGGCAGGCAAAGATGAACCCAGGACTTCCTGACACCAAGCCATAACCTCTACTCATGCTGTCTTCTTCAAGAATGCTACGTATAATTTTACTTACCCCTCCCACCCCCAAATGAAAAGCACTTGAAAGAAGTAGAAGTCGGCCTGAATCAATCTTCTTCTACTCTTTAAGAAATACTACTAGTTCCCTCATTGACGTGCCATAAAACAAAAAGCAGACCAGGGGCAGAAAAAGTAACATATAATCACAGAAATGCATTTCATCAAAACCACACACTTTAATAAAAATGTCTTGTGATCCCAAAAGTCACAGGTGAGGATCAACTGGTTCTCTAAAATACAGTACTTTCTTACAATTGCAATAAATTTGGTGGGTTTTTTTTTCAATACCCAGTCCAAATATAGGAATATTTTAGTCATGTTTTAACGTAGAATGGAAGATTATTCATTTAAAAAAACATTTATTAAGCACTTACTCTATGCAATATGCAAAAAATAACTATTTTCAAAATATCATCTACAGATCACCTAGAGTGTTAGAAATTAAAGTTTTACTCAACTTTATTAGTCTGAGATACCATATGTTAGTATCATTTATCAGAGTGACTTTTACTACCCAGGAAGGGAACAACTTTTTCAATCTATCTGAGCACACAAACGTAGTGACTACCTCAGCAATCCTGTACTTTACTAGTAGTACTGCGTGATTACCAAGGTAACCTGGAAACACTGCTCCCAACAACAAACTTGCAAACAAAGAAGCACTAAGTTTTCAGCCTCTAATTCTGTATGTTTCCCCTCTCCACCGAAGGACCATAGGAGCAACCAGAGTAAGGATAAAAAATAACTGAAAATTTTAAAAGTGAGTTTCCAGATTATTTGTCATCATTTTGTTGCCCAAAATAACGACGACCTAAGACACTACTGTGCATCTTTTATACTTATGGACCACATTAACCGAAATAAGTATCAAAACCAAACCACACCACACCTAGTCTGCTTAACTATAATCAGCAATGGGGACAAGTTCTAGAAATAATGCAACAAGGAGCATGAAATTCCAAAAGGTCATTTGCAGACGGCGCTGGAGCTTGGATTAAGTCTTCTCTCACAGGGTAGCTACTGGCATCAATCATACTCTCCCTTTCTATAAGATTATGACATTCCTGCAAATACACCACTTATTGACAGTTTTGAAACTCCAATTCAAGCAGTAATATGAATTTCATTGTATAGAAAATTCAAATAGAAGGTAATAAGGATGCCACCCTTGGAAAAACGTATCTTCAAAAACGGTTTTTTCTGTATTTGTTCACCTAAATCCATGGACAGGAAGTGGGCTTAAATACTCTTATAAAAACTAAAAGCTGTAGGAATGAGCCTGAATAAAGCATCTCGGGTGATGCAAAGTTTAGATTTCCAAGTTCCATCCAGAGTAAAGTAACTGAGCAGATGGGTAAGGCCAGGGTTTGGGAACTCTTGCAGTGGCCGAGGGCTTCACCTCCCCTCCCCCCCAAGCCCCGAGATGGCCCCCTCTGCCCGCCCCCCCCAGCCCCCCAGGTGTGAAGTTGGCGGCGCACAAAGAAGTTGGGACGTTTCAGGGGCCGGTGGGGGGCGGCCCGTCTCGTTGGGGCACCAGAGATCGTAATCGAGCACGCCGAGGCCCAGCAAAACAAACGGGCACGAAGCCGTTGGCTTCCCGCACGCTTCCCGAGCTGCGGCCGGCTCGGGAAGCGCCGTTCCGAGGCGGGGGCACCTGCAATCTATCTCTATCCGGGCCCCGCGATCCAAGGTCACCCACGCCATGCCCGGCCCCACGGGAACCGGACAGCCAGGCGCCCACGGCCCGCTCCCGCTTGGGGATGGAGGCAGCTGTGGGCTGGGGAGAACGCCCGGCGCGGCCCCGGCGGGCCCTCCTTCCGCGTCCTCCCCTCCCTGGCCCCGGCCGGGCCTTCCCTGCCCTCCCGTCGCCCCGAACCGGCGCCGGGCCACTCACATCTGCGAAGCCACTTCATCCAGTGGTAGACGATGGTGCTGTGGTGCTTCTTGTTCTCGATGCACCAGGACGACAGGCCCTGGATGGATTCCATCGTGTTGGTCACCGACTGAAATTTGCGATCCAGCGAAGATTCCAGGGCCCCAGCCGACGAGGAGGCCTTGCTGCCGCCGCCTCCGCCGCCGCCGCCGGCCGCCATCTTTCCGCCTTGCACAAGCGCTGCTGCTCCTCCTGCGGCGGCGGCGGGAGCGGGCAAAACAATCACTGCGGGTGCGTGCAAGCTGGGGGCTGTGAGGGAAAGAGAAAGCGGGTGCACGCGCTCGGCTGGGCTGGCGGTGGGGGCGGGAGGACCGGGAGGGCAGGCGCCGGAGGCGGCCCCGCGGCGCTCAGGGGGGCGGCCGAGGCGGCTGCGAGTCTTGCACTTTGGTCACTTTGGAAGAGGGTGTAGTGTTTAAACCAGTCCAGGGCCAGAGGAGGTTCGCCCAGAGGCAGGGGCGTACGAGGCCTAGAGCAATGCCCTTCTAAATGTCTGGCCCGAGAGGCGAGGGTTTTAGAGCGCAGGACTCCGCTTCTAGCAGGGGCCTGACCGGCACCTTGCACTCATAACCCCTTCCCAACAAGAACCAGGGTGTCCCGTGGGACGGGGGATGGGAGTTTGTGTCGGGCTCTTAACACTACCCGACTCCTCACCCCCACCCCCTCCCCTCCGAAACACTCTCTCAAACCCCTTGCAGCCCTCGTACGAGCCACAAGACTACCCAGCCAGAAATTTTTTTGCAACGCAACAGCAACAGCGACAGCAAGATTGCCGCGCATGCGCTATCCAGCCCCGCCTCCCCTTCCTCTTCAGTCTAGAGGGAAGGGGAGGAGTGGAGGCGATGCACTTTGACCAATCGAGAGAGAAAGACGGAAAGCGCGCGCTGAAGCCCGCACACGCGCGAGAGCAGAGGGCCCCCTCCGACTCCTTCTGCGCCTGTGTCACAGACTCGCGTGTTGAGCGCTGGGAAAAAAGGGAGGGGGGGAAAGAGAGAGTTGGCCGATCTGTGGGGAGGTTTGGGGGAGGGGCCCGCTTTGCCCTTTCCCTCTGGATCTCAGGGTCTCAAGGCCTCTCTTGATGTCGTTCTGCTCACGGAAAAGAGCCAGGGAATTCCCACTGCGAAGCAGCTACTGTTATTCCCGGGTGACTGCAGCCCTCGCTTCCGCTAACTCTCCGGAGCACCGAATCGGGACGAAGCGGCCTGCCGCCATCTTGCAGCGCCTCAGAAGACGCGCATGCGCCAACTACAGTAAGACATGCACTGCGCAGACTCCTGGAGGGAACGGTTTTTCTCGCTTCTCTCTCTGCAACTCCACCTCGGGAGAAACCATTCGGGGCCACATGACCATTCAGACAAAGTAGGGGGAATCCAACTTCGTCCGAACTTTGAAGTTTGGAGGCTTTGGAAGGTGTAATTGTGCCGTTGTCCTCGCCAACCCAAGAAGCTAGCGAGACTCTGGGTCAGGTAACCCGGCCACCCCCGAGCGCTCTCGGTGTAAGCGGAGGCTGGTGCTGAGCCTTCAGGTGAATGATTCAGTACTCGCTGTACTCACTCCTCAGATGCTGCCATAGGAATTAGTTTAAGAGCCACACACACAGATCCTTTTTCATTCTAGCGGATCACACCCATTGTGAATTTGTGGTGCTTAACTAGATTTCTTATCACTACGTGGGGCCCTTTTCTAGCTTCAATGCTCCAAACTCACTTCCACACTTAGAACAGATGATAACCGAAGGGAAAGTTTGGGGTCACCGTAAGTGAATTTCATTTCTTCAGAATCTTTCATCATCATCCTCCTCTCGTTTCTCTGGTCACGTTAGTGATAATTGTTCTTAAAGCTGATCAGTCTACTCTTCATCTTTGATCCCGTTACCGTATGTGTTTTTCGGCAGTTTCCTCCAAACTCGCCCCTTTCTCATACTCATTTAAAGATTGTCATTCTTCATTTAATGAGAATAAAGATTCTCATTAATCTTTCTCCATTTCACCTTCCCATTTGCCTACCAGGAAAAAGCAAAACCTTCCCTTCATCATAACTTTGTACTCTCCCATTTCCTCTTTATTTCAAAACTTAGGTATACCCAACGATTCCACTGTCTCAGGAGCTTATTTTCTACCTCTTGCAATCTAGCCACAACACAAATGAAATTGGCCTCCCAAACAACTTTTGATAGCCATGGCAATCCAATCACCTTTTAAAGGCATCTAGATGTCTCAGCTGCATCTGACACCATTCTCGACTATTTCCTACTAGATGCTTTCCTTTTGGCTTCAGATACACCAGTTAGATTAACAGAATCCTTAGCTCGATAGCTGAAGGGGACTGCAGAGGTCATGTAGTGCGATCTTTTTAGTCTTAAACTGGCCCAGAGAGGGAGTAATGAGTTTTCACAGTCTAGTCTTGCTTTGACACCCTTCTTTCGTATTATTATTCCTGTAAATTTATATTCGTTATGGAGAAGAGTATAGAGCCTATTTCAAAGCCAGGAAGACATGGTTTTAAGTCTGACCTCTGATGTGTTTGACCCTGGACAAGTCATTTAATCTTTCATCGCTCAAGGCAAGCTTCTAAAATTTTTAAGTTATGGAGGTTTTTGGCATTGGTAAATTGAATTCTTTTTATGTCAAATACCATCCCTATCCCAATATCCTGGGTTAGAAAAAGTAGTTTTCAAAGGAAGAAATTAAAATTATCAACAAAAATTCCAAATCACTAATTAGAGAAGTGCAAATTAAAGCAAGACTGAGGTTCTATTTTATAACCAGCATACTGGCAAAGATGACAAAAATGGAAAATGACAATTTTGGAATTGCTGTTGAAAAACAGGCACAAAAATGCACTGTTGTTGAAGCTGTGACTTGGCCCAGCCATTGTGGAAAGCAGTTTGAAACTATCCCTCTGTAATTGCTAAACTCTGCAAACCCTTTGATCTAGCAGTACTACTATGCAACAGCAGACCAACTGCTATTTTACTACTCTTTACTTCTCTCCCTTCCCCTCAAAACACTCTTGCACTGAAACCCTCCATGCATTTGCTCAGACTGGTCTTCCTGCCTGGATTGGTCTCCCTCCACCTGTTTCTTACCTCAACTTACAGCCCAACCAAAATGCCATCTTTCCCACAATGCTTTCCCTACCCACACCCCTGCCCCCATCGTTGCTAATGCCCCACCCCCTTGTACCTTAACAATCATTCATACTATCTCCAATACACTTAGCAAGTATTGTCAACATTTTTTACCTTTGTGTGTTGTCTTACCTCTTTCCTCCCTCCTTCCCCTCTCCCCTATCCCTGGACTTAAAACATCATCGATTACCTGTATTACTGTGGAAGGCCTATTTCCTTCTCCATTTACAATAACAACTCACATTTATATATTTTGCAGTGATTTACAGTTACAAAGTGATCCTCACAACAACCTTGTGAGGTAGGTAGTAGTAATAGCAGCTCACATTTATATAACGTTTAAACGTTTACAAAATGCTTTCCTCACAACAACCCTGTGAAGTGGGTAATACAAGTATTTTCTCCATTTTTACAAATGAGGACTCAGGTTAGTTAAAGAGCTTGCCCAGTATCACAGCTAATAATGTGGTAGAGCCAGGGCCTTGAACCCAGGTCTTCTGACTTCAAGTACCCACTGTTACCACATTGCTTAAAAAAAACCAAAAAAACCACCTTGGTCCATTTAGAAACTTATAAATATGTCTCTTAACAAAAAGGTTGGTAAGCTCTTGCTCCAGGACATAAGGGATAATTGGGTACACAGTGCTTTTTGTACCTGGAAGAACTTGGGGGTAGGGAAATAGAGGGTTATGTGTTAGGAAAACTTTATTTTCCCTGATGACTGAGAACCTGTTGTAAGTTCAAAAGATGCACAAGTTGACTGACACCACAACTTGGTTAGCATTATTACTTTTAAGACCCTTTTAGGGGAACACCAAAGGTAAGCATCCTTTCTCTACCTCCACTCCCCAACAGTGTTCCATTAATACCCCTGAGCTAGAAGGAACTTAAGAGATGTTGTTGAATCCCCAGCATTATACAAATGAGGAAATAGAGGCCAAGAGAATTTAAGTGACTTGCCCAAGATCACACAGGAAGTAAAAAGAGCTAGGATTTAAACTCAAGATCCTAAATCCAAATCCAGAACTCTTTCCATTTGCCTGATGCAATTTATGCAGCATAAATGGAGGGTATAGTTAATATGAAGGAATCTCAAGACCTTAGATTATTTCTAGAATGACTTGAGAGGACGTTAGGGTGACTGACATCTCCTCAAGCTGTCCTAGAGATACCAAATATCTCAGAGTAGGATTCCAGTAGTCTCTGAGGGGAAGGGGAAAAGAGGATTTTTACTTTGTAAAAGAGAAGCTGCTAAGTCTCTGAATCCTCCTGCTTCATCCATCTACCTACTACATCCTTGATTACTTCTCTATATCCCACTGCCAATCTCTCCTCTCCACCAGAAAGGGACTTGGAAGTTTCCTGAATAGGAGTATCAAATATCTACTTGCTGTCTAGATGCTACTGAGGAAATGAGATCCTATCAGGAATATCTCTCCTTCCCTCACTCACTACCCCAACTCTGCTCCAAAAAATACTAGTCTTTACTGCTTCAATCATAAAAATGTCCCTATTGTATTTGTCAAAAGACTGGAATAAAAAAAGTACCCTCAAACACCTATGTGTGAAAAATGCCATACCAGGTTTAAAAATAATTCTTTAATCATATGCACAGAAAGGGAAAGGAAGGCAGCACCAGATGGACTGGGAACAGAGCAGCAGTTCTCCCGCAGTCCCACAGCTCTGCCTGGTAGTTTCTGGAGATCTCTCTCACACATGTGCACACATGTGTGCACACACAGACACACAGAGAGGTTGGGATGGAGGAATAAAGGAAAGCTGGAGGGACAAAGGCAGTGGAGAGGAACGGGTGGGGACTGTAGTTGTCTCAGTCGGTGGACTCCAACACGGACTCACTCAGTGCAAGGTCCCAGTAATGTTCAGCCCCATGCTTTTTGAAATGCTCCCTGGCCATGTTCTCTGTGGGGCACTGTTTGAACTTCATTTCTCCAAAGCTCCGATCTTTGGCTGTACCCTGGGAAAGAGACAGGGAGCAATAGAATAGTAAGAAAAGCTGTCAAAGACTTCAGTTC